GCTAGGCAGATGCTGCTAGTGATGGTTAAGTTTTGTGTCTACTTGATGGATTAGCCAGTTTCTATGATCTACATGATCCTTGGTCAGTTTTAGGACCATTTTGTCGATCAATTTTTTCTGAAAAAGTTACTTTAGATTTTTCGGATTTTTCGGAATTTTTCAGAATTCTTAGAAATTGAAAAAATCAAACAATATTTTGGTTTTTTTTGTTTCGCAGATTTTTCACATTTTTTGAGCAATTTCAGAATTTCTGGAAGATTTGGAAATTTTTGGTTTTTTCAAAAATTTTGGAATTTCTGGAATTGTGGGTCTGAGGAAGGGCAAGATCATCTTGGAGCCCATGTATATCGGTTCCGATCACCCAACTGAAAAAATGTTCAAAATTTTATGGTTAACGTTTTATTAGTTAATCTATTTTTTATATCTAGCTTTGAGAGCGAGATAAATTGGGTCCAAGACGGTGCACCATATTTCCATGTCTACGAAAATCCCATTTCGAGAATCCTCAGCATGTCCCATTGTTGCTTCACACCCGCTATCCCTTTTCAATACCCCATCCAATTCTGTCTGTCTCAAATCTTTTGGCACCCTATTCCATCCAATTCTCACATCTCCTCCATCCCCCTAATTGCCCATTTTGGGACACTCTCTCTCTCAATCGGAAAACGGGACCTCCCCGAACGCTTGAGTGGACTCCTAATTACACGAAGTGCTTGTAGTAGTTGGATTGAGAGGAAAAGTTGTAAAAGGGAAAGAGCCCATCAATTTCGTGCTCATTCATTGTTCTCTCAATGGAGAGAGAGAGAGAGAGAGAGAGAGAGAGAGAGAGAGAGGGCATCTGTTGATTCAGACGTTTTGGAGTCCTAAGTCCTAGTTCTAGAACCTTCTAGAACTTCAACGTCTTAAATTTAGTGCTTCCAATTAAAATCGTAAATTCCAAACGTTCTTTTGCAACTTGAGGGACAAGAAGAGGTGATAAAACAAAATAGCCACGTCATAAAAATTCCTTCTCTTTTCAAATTTCCAACATTCTCAGTTTCCCTTCCTCTGTCCCCTCATTTTTAACTTCCTTGATTGAAATCACCAGAAAACACTGAACATTTTTGATCATACAATTTGAAAATTTTACCCTTTTCCCGCCTCTCCAAGCTCCAAGACGTTGTCAGAAGAAGTGTATAATTTAGAAGACGTCGTCAATCAGCAGATTTCCGTTTCCTGACGGGGGAGCACATTGCGTTTTTTTGGATTCTTTAGTTCTCGCTCCTTATATATTTTTGTTCTTTTGTTTTTTGTTCTCAAGCTATAGAGGACATTTTTCTTTTTTTTTCTTTTTTTTTGTAAAATTGTGTTGTCTTTTGTGGAGCTTTTTACAAATTGATGAGCATAGATTGTCACGACGAGGTGACGAATTTTTTTTAACGAAAATCGAAAATCTGAATCTCAAAATACGAAAATCTATAATTCTATAAATAGAATATAGAATCTTTTAAATTTTGAATATTCAGAATTTCGAATTTTCAAGATGTTGAAATTTCCTTTAACATTCGATGAAAATGGAAAATTTTGAATACTTAGCAATTCAACATTTTTGAATTTCGATCAACTTTGAAAGGTTCAAATTTTGAATTTTGAAAATGTTGAATTTTTCCTAATTTTCAAAATTTTAATCATTTTGAAAATGTTGAGTTTCCAGGATCCTTGGAATTTTAATCTTGAAATTTTAAATTTTGGAATCTTGAAATTTTAAGAATTTTGAATTTTCCATACTTGTAATCTGGGCCTTTGCCGGGCCTTCGCGGGGATAATTGGCACTTTCCATAAACTTTGAGATGTGACAGACCAATTCAATATTGCTTCGACCGGAAAGTTTATGGAAAGTGCCAATTATCTGGGTGCAAAACATTGTCAATGGTCAAATGCGCGTATTGTGCCAAGAACATATGTTTCCAGCAGTTTGTCATCGAATGCCACCGATGTGTATAGAATCCTCAACTGTTTTTTCAATAAAAAAAACAAAAAAAAATTGAAAAAAACATTTTGAAAAATCTTCGATGAACCCCCATGAGCATATTTGTGAATTTCTTCAAAAATTAAATGTCTGTTTTTATTCTGGAAAATGCCTATTCATAACGAGAAACTCCCGAAAAACATGTTTAAATTGCGTAAATTTTATTCCAGAGCCAGTTATGGCAGCTTAAAATAAAACAAAAAAATTTTGCAAATTTTTTGGGATCGGGAGAATCGAACCTACAACCTTCCTCCTCTGAACTTGCCATTTTACCACTTTACCACACTGCTGATCGAAATCTATTGTTTTAAAAGAAATACACTATTCCGTGAAAAAAATTTCACGAGAAATTGCTTAATCATAGGGAAACTTTTCTAGGTCACAACTCAGCTCACGTGAGCATTTTGCTGATTTTTTTTAACAGATTTAGAATCCTCATAAGCTCTTCTATCTGCTCCCAACATTTCAAAAAAAGTTAAACCTGCTCCCTCAAGTAACTCCCTTGTTAAATGTTGATTTTCCAATCATTTTTCAATATGTTTTTTCTTTAAAAAAAATAGTAAAATTCCCAATCATTTTCCCTCCTGTCCACCACACATTCCTACTCCTTTGATTTCCCTCGATGTGCTGATGTCTTTATGATATTCTCTAACCAACTCTCTTCATTTCCCACACTATCTCCCCTCATCAATTTGATGAGGTGAAGCACATTGTCTTTGTCTCTTCATTTCTCATACTCTCTTATTTTCCATTTTTCATTCATATGATATTATCTTTCTGGAAGAAGATAGGAGGAAAACTGTTTTTGCACAGAGCAGTCACTTTTGGCTCTTTTTTCTTATCAAACAGCTTCTTCTCGGTATTCTCTTCTTTTTATGTTTTCATTGAAATTCTATTTTTAAATTTCCGCTTTTCTGACAGAAACTCATGTCAAAGGTCACTTTTGTCAGTTTTTTTCCGAACGGACGAGTTGTCAATTTTCCCATTTCAAACCGCTTTTTGATCTCCAAATCTGCCCTCGGGGGGATCAGCCTTCTTTTCTTCTTCCTTTTTTAGTTTTTTTTTCAATGTTTTCACAATTTTTTAGTCTACCATGGAAGATTTTTAGACATCAAGAACCCATATTTTTTAGTCTTTTTTTGGAAACGAATTTCTTTTTCTGGAAAAAATGGGTTTTTGATAAGCATTTGAGAAGATTACCTGGAAAAAATGATGACATGAATAGAGTGAAATTCTGTTGGAAATTTGAAATATTTTTGAAAAAAAAAAAGAAAATTCAAAAATTCAGAAATTCAAAAATTCAGAAATTCAGAAATTCAGAAATTCAGAAATTCAGAAATTCAGAAATTCAGAAATTCAGAAATTCAGAAATTCAGAAATTCAGAAATTCAGAAATTCAGAAATTCAGAAATTCAGAAATTCAGAAATTCAGAAATTCAGAAATTTAGAAATTTAGAATGGAGAAAAATTTGAAAACCTAAAAAACCAAATCCTGGGATCTTAGAATTCAGAATAACACCTACCGTAAACACTCTAATAGAACGCCACCCAAACATTCAGCTTTTATACCATATATCTCATTTTCTGTGAAAGACGTGTAAAAGTGGTCAACTAAAAAAATGTTCATCGTAACATCAGTAACATTTTATCGGTTAACAGTTTTCCGATATCTTTTACAGAAAATGAGATATATAGGCTCAAAGTTGACTGTTTGGTGGGCGTTCTATGGAGTGTTTACGGTAATAATAAAAATGGAGCTCTCAGAGCTGTTGCCTCATAATTTAAAAAAAAACAGAAATTCTGAAAATATCGCATTTATTTTTCCCATTCCCATTATCCCTCCATTCTATTCAGGATACCGAGAACCTGATTATTTCCCCCTCTTTTCTCCTCTCTCCCATTATTTTTCCTCGCCTATTTTTCTATATTTTTCTCCTTTTAATTAGCGTCTCTTTCTGATTTTCGGATCTCAAAAAAAGAAGAAAAAGAAGAAGCTTCTCCTTCTTCTTCATTGTTATGCAACCCTGTCTTTTCGTCAAGAAGACGTTGTCCATCAATAATCAATTTGAAAAATGACGATGATGTACTTCTTCCTCCTCCTCTCCTTCTTCTTCTTTTTCTTTCTTATTTCTGGAAATAGAAAAAGAAGAAGAAACAATTTATTTTTTTTTCTCAAATTGACCTCTTCTACATTTTTTTTTTCATCACTCCTCCTCTTCTCTTTTCTCTTGCAATATCAAATTTCCTCGATTTTTTTTTCTTTTTCCAAGCTTTTCCACTTTTCCCAACTTTTCTCTTGCCTTCTGGCTTCCGATTTGTGTCAGTTTTTTTTTTGAGATTGCTCAGCTCTCAGTCAATAGATTACTGTAGCTTCAAAGATTATGTTGTTCCAAGTGATTACTGTAGTTTCTGTGTCGAAAAAATCAAGAATCTCTATTTAAATTATTATTTGTCTTTTTTTTTTCAAAAATTGATATTTTTCAAAAATTCGAGCTAAATTATTGTTTTCATATTTTCTTTCCTAATTTTCATGGAAAATTGATTTTGAATCAAAATTTAAGACACCAAATTCTTGATCAATTATTTCAAAACTTCCAATTTCAAATTGATTCCGAAAACTCTTCAACCATGAAAAGTTCTCAAAACGTCTCCCAAAACCAAAAAAAATGCCGTATTCCTTATCATATTATAATCACACACACATTTTTTTTGGAGAAGGGAACGCCCAATGACTAATCAAAAAACAGTTTATTGGCCTTTATATGCCCATTTTTACCCCCTCTATCATTCCCTTTTTTAATCATTTCCATAATCGGCTCATTTTTTCTGGGTTTAATCGATCACACTCTCTTATCGATAACCTATTTCCTTTCTGTGAAACCTCCCATTCTATTTTTGATCGATTTTTTTCTCTATTTTTTGCTCTCTCCTCTTCCGCAGCTTCTCCGAAAACTTTCTCAAAAATTTCCTTATTTTCCAGCCTACAGTAGTTATGCGAGACACAAAAGAATGGCGAGGGACGACGTCAACGAGTCGGGTATTCGTTCAAAAAGGATATCAATTATCAGATGAATTGGCACTTCGAAAAGTGCAAGTTTTGGAGAGGCGGTACGGTGGAGCGCAGTTGGCACATCGAGCAGCGACGATTATTCAAAGGGCATGGAGGGAATACTGTATAATGAAACAGTGGATGGTTATTAGGCATAAACATGATGCGTAAGTCTTTCTTTTTTTTAATAAAATTGCTGGACATGAATTAGCTTTAGCTAAAACCGTTAACCTATATTTCTCATTTCTTGTGAAAGATATCAAAAATGTGTCGACTGACAGAATGTTCGTCATAATATCACCTATAGTTTAATTGTTAACAATTTTTGATATTTCTTACGGTAACCGAGATTAATCGGGTCAAAGTTGAAAGTCCAGTTTTCGCCTACGTAGCTCATTGGCATTCCTCACTTTGAGCTCGATTATCTCGTATCCTGTGAAAGATATCAAAAAAAGGTGAACTGACAAAAGGTTTGCCATGATATTACCAACATTTTATCAGTTGACGGATTTTTGATATCTCTAAAAGGAGTTGAGATAATTGAGCTCATAGTCCAGCTATTGTAACTGTAATAGAACACCACCTGAAAGGTCAACTTTGCACTCAATTATCTCAGTTCCTTCAAAAGATATCCAAAATTTGTCAACTGATAAAAATTTGTCCAAAGTGTCACCAACATTTAAGCAGTTGACAAATTTTTGATATCTCTCCTAGGAACCGAGATAATTGAGCTCATGGTACTGCTACCCTAATCCTAACAGAACGCCACCCAAACCGCCAACTTTGAGCTCAATTATCTTAGTCCCTATAAGAGATATCAAAATTTTGCCAACTGATGAAATGTTTGCCATGATATCCCCAACATTTTATCAGTTGACATTTTTGATATGTCTGATAGAAACCGTGTTAATCGAGCTCAAGTTTATAACTAGAGTGGCGTCTGACTCATTCCCCAAAGGCAGAAACCTGTACTTTTTGTTGTTGTTCACCAAACTTTTATTTTGCAACAAGACATTAGTAATGTCTCTCTAATTAGACTGTTGTCGTCAACCAAAAAACTTTTTGCAAATTGAAACAAGAATACAACTAGTTTTTTTCAAGACTACAACTAGTAGAATTCTAGAGAACGAAAAAAAAATTAGAAAATTCTGAAATATTCTAGACCTCTGCCTTATATTTTCCCCGGAAAACACCATCCGTTAAGTTCCATGCATAAAACACATGTTTCCGGAACATTATCACATTTAGTAAATACACTCTCTTCTGCCGATTTAATGTGATGATGGCAATCGTTTTTTTTTTTCGATTTGAAAGCGAAACGTTCGTTTGTCCTTTCACTAACTTAATACCTGCTTTGTGTCTCTTTTCTTCAACAAACAATTCTCTTTTTTACAGAATACCAGACCATCTCGATGCAAGATGCGGAGTGTCAAACAGTCAGCGGAACGAGCTATCACTAACCAGGTTAGTAGCGTTTTAATTTTCGATACTTCCCATTTACTTTACTTTTAGTCATTTTGACTCACTAGTGCCTAGATGTGTCCAACGTTTAAAGATGATGTACGGTTAAATTTTTTATTGCTTTATTAGACAATCGTATATTACTCTGGTTCAATTTCGATGCGCGTTGCCGGCCGAGAGTGGGCGGATCCGGTAGCGAAATCCTTTAAGGGTCATGGTGTTTCTGACCCATTTTTCAGATTTTTCGACGAATTTTATCAATTTTGAACGTTTTTTTTTTCGTAAGAACCCGAAAATAGCAAAAATCGCCTAAAAACAACGGAAAATCGTCGAAATTTTGAAAAAAAAATTGTTCAATAATTTTCATTGTTTTCATGCAAATTTTGCGATTTGTCGGATTTTTGTGAAACAAAAATATCGAAATCGTTAAAATTCGTCGAAAAATTGAACAAAATAGAGCATGCACTTTTCCTAATTATTTTCTGACCTAATTTTTTGAAGAACTGCATGAATTTTGAGCTTTTTAGAAATAATTATGAAAAATACATGCTCCACAAAATTATCTCAATGGAAATTATCTAGAAAAAACTTCTAGTTTTTGGCGATTTTTCGGGGATTTCCCGATTTTCGCGAATAAAAGTTAAAAACGAAAAAAACAGGCCAGAAAATAATCTTAATAACTACATGCTCCTTTAAAGATTTCGCTACCGGATCTAAGCTCCGCCCATTGAAAATAGACCACAGTAAAACTTTCCGTTCCCATTTACTTTACTGTTAAACACTACCACCTGGTACACTGTCTTTCCTCAGGCACTAGGTACCGTGACTCAAAAATCTCTCTTTCTGAGAATTGGAGACACATGTTTATAGACCATTTTCTCCATAAAAATTGTCTCCCTTTCCTTCTTAATTCCTGATTTTCGCCACTTTTTGCGCGAATCTCATCCATTGGAGGAAGGATACGGTTTTTATGACGCCTCGGTGTGTATTATCCTAGACAGCGCTATTAAAACTTTCTCGAAGATATTTTCTTTTTGTTTTATATACATTGCGATCAGCTGGAAAATGCAAAAACAATTTTTCTTCCTTTTTTCAAATTCTCAGCATTTCCTGGATACTTCCTTTCTGGCGCGAAACGATCCTTTCCGGTAGTTTCGGACCCACACAACCCCATGCATAAGTATTTATTTATTTATTTGGCACACTTTTTTTCTATCTCAAGAGAAATTTTACGTTTTTTTTCGTCCTAGCGAGAAACGTGTCAAAATACGGACGGCACAGTTGACCACTAGAGAGCTCTGTGCCTAGATAATTTTGGCCTCGGACGGCGCGGAAAGAGCTGTCAAAGAATCGAAAATAAACATTTTGGACTACTCCCTTTTCGACACCCTTTTCGTCGTAATCATTGTGCCTTCTTGTGTGACCAAAGATGCAATTTTTCAAATTTTTGACATTTTCGAAAAAAAAAAGTTTTTTTTCGAGTAGTTTTTTAAATCGAATTTCAGCCATATATATTTTTATATGATTATTTCTTCTTCAAAACCAATTTTTCTATGAGAAATTCCACTGAGAATCATCTTCGAAATCAAATTTCAGAAATTTTTTCTTCAAATTATTCTGTGCAGTTTACCGGTGACAGTGTTTTGCGTACTTTTCATCGCATACCGTATCCCCGAGAAAGAGAGCACACCAACTGGGAGGAAAAGAAAAAGTGGGAAGAACCATCTGGGAGGAAAAATGGGCGGAGCCTAATTTGCAACCCTGGCACGGTCTTGCCGCATGGTTTATTTTTACCATTTGGTACCTGGTCAAGAAAAAACCATGCGACAAACCTCCCAGTTGGTGTGCTCTCCCGAGAAATTTAAATCAGAACTTTCTTGAAAAATACACCTAAAAAGCGGTAAAATAAGCGAAATTTTGGTTTTTTTCCGATTCCTAGGAAGAATCTGCATTTTTTCAAATCTATAAATGATGATTTTGTCTGAAAGATTAGCTATAGATTTCGAGATTTTTGGAATTTTCCGAAAAATAGCATTCGCGCTCTATGGCTAATTTTTTCGAGAGGGAACTTTAAATTTGTTCTTCTGAACTTTTTTTTCCTCAAAATCGTCAGAATTAAATAAAAACTTAACAAACATGAAGTTTCTAACCGCAATATTTACAATGATACTAGCATTTTTCAAAATACTAATGTACGAATTTTCCTCTTCCAGCCTTTTTTCGAATTCCTTTTTTTTCAGCCGCTACGCCACAAGCCTCAGCGCTCAACTCCGAATAGATCGTGCCGCCCGTTCGAATACCGTCGATCGGAGTCCACCGTCGCCAGCGCCGCCCGTACTGGCGAATTTGCAAAATTCGAATATGATTGGTATGTTTTTTGCTTCCCGACAATAATGTTTTGCTTCTCCTCTTCCTTTGTGACTAATTTACAAATCTGAAGAGAGTGAGTGACCGCAAGTGGCGGAGCTTTTTGAGTTTAAATTCAAAAGAAGTGTCTTCTTCTTTTTCTTCTTTTTTCTTCTCCATTTCTCGGTGGCATATGTGCGAAGATTCTCTGATGGAGTCGCCACCGCCGACGCCACTAAATTATCTTCTCACACAACAAATTTTCCCATTTCCCTCTTTTTTTTCATTTATCTTCTCTTTTTCTATGGCGCAGAGTCAGAAAATGTTGCCATTTTGTGTCGTTTCGGTGTTCGAAACGGAACGAAATGATCGGAATGAAAAGATAAACAGAGACAAGGTGACAGGTGAAAAGACAGTCAAACACCGATTTCTTTTTTATCTCATTTACTCGAAAAAATTCGAAAAAGTTCAATTTTCAAATGTTCTCATTTTTTCTAATCGTTGAGAACTGTTCCCGCTCACTTCGCGCTCCGCGCACCTTATCTACGCCCATCGGGACTTGGTTAGAAAGCCCCGCCGTGGTGTAGTGGTAAAGCGCCCGCCCTTCAATCCGATGAGCCCGGCACCCACAAGTTCGACCCCACCCAAGGGAATTTTGTTTTTTTTTCTCTTTTTTCTACAATCTAGAAACAGTCTAGATGTCAAATTAAGACCTTAGGTGTATATTTCATCAACCAACCTGTACACACTCGAGTTGAATAAAGTCATAAGACCCCCACCACTTGGATAAAATACTTCAAAGTTCATCGATCTTCTCCTCTTGTTGTGTCAATTGGCCAAGTTTCTCCTCCTCCTCGTCCCTTGCAGATGATAGGGAGGAGATGCCAATCAGTTCACATTCCACTTTTTTCAATGATTTTATATCTTTTGGTTTTTTGTCGCAGTTTTTTGAGTGATAAGAAAATGTTACTATTTTTGGGTTTTCAGAATTTTCCAGAAAAATACCTGAAACACCAAAAAGTGTATGTTCAGAAATCAATTTCGAAAACACACACCTTTTTTTGTTTATATTTGAGACATAAAACCGCCAACGGAGGTCTTCCTTCCCCTATGTGGGTGATAGTTTTTTTTTGTTTCGATTCGTCACTTTTTGAAACTTTTGAAAAAAATTTCAAAATTCCTTCTTTCAAATCCCCTAATAAAGCACTAATTGGGTCATTGAAACTTCAAAAAATAAACAATTTTTTCCAATTTTCGATTTTTCTAGAAAGTTCAAGAAGCCTCAATTTCTTGCTCATTGCTCATTTTGCTCACCTGTCAACAGTGATTCATTAGATACACAATGTAGCTGGCCTTTTTCTGGTCTTTTCGGATTTTCTTACTTTGAAATTCCAAGTTTTTTTTTCCCGTCCCGTCACTCTTTTCTCTTTTTTTCCCTAATTATTTATTCATCTGGGAAAGAAGTATGAGAAAAGGAAGAAGGCCGAACTATACAAACTTTTTTTGAAGCCGAGAACATAGAGAGAAAAAACTCGTAAAGTGTGAAACATGCAAATTTTCTCCTCGTCTCCAAATTCTTCGAATTTCCTTGTCACCTCGTTTAAAGTCGCACGGCTTGAATCTCACCACGATTACTGTATTTCATAGTTGCAAGCGAGCCGGTCCGGCCCGGGCAGGTGGCGGTCCGGCTGATAACTTGTCCCTAGAAGATATGCAGATAGTTTTGGTACCAAATGATAGATCTCGACAGGACCCATCATACCTATATCATTAGAGCCGGATTTCATTCTGGTAACATGCCGAAAAATGGGTTTGAATGA